CAGGTGGAGCAAGACCAGCACTGCTGCCATTTAACACTAGCCTGCAGAACAGGACTAGAAAACTCACTATTTTGGCCATGCCAAGATTGCCGGGATTTAAACACGTGATGTCACTGAAATAAAGTAGTTCTCTTAAGTGGGAAGTTTTCCCTATTACTTCCCTTGCAGGAGATTGATTATGGTTACAATGATTACAAAGTAAACAAGATATATACATCCAAACTACACTGGGAAGGAAAAAAAAAAAAAATGGAAGGGCACAGCAGCCCAGCATAGAGGATGTTTTTCTTTCAGCTGAAGAAGAGTTCACTCACTGGGACCTCACCTTTACAACCACTACCATAGGAAAAGCCATCCAAATGTGAACTAACTGATTTCATGTTAAATAAGGTGTTGGGTTTCAGGAAAAAAAAAAAAAAAAGCCAGCGCCCCAAAGTCAGAAGCTCTTCCTTACAGCACAGTTGCTGTCCTGCTCTAAGGAGCAGGTATGTCTATGGCACGTTTTCCCCTTAAACATCATGCAGTTATCTTAAATTGAGTCTATCGATGCATTTAATAGCTGGGCTGATTTATTCACTAAGACATGCACACAGCAAATAGCCAGCAACTCAATACATGTCTCACAAAAAGCTGCCACGCCTGTGGTTTTCATCTATCACCAAGCATCCAACACCTGGAAGTCTTCACGGGACCTCAGTGGCCACATGGGGTGACCCATGCTACATGCTCCCACTCTTACCTTCACAATGGACAGAGCAACATTTTCTGCAATGAAATTTCTGACAAAGCTGGATTGGTTTTGCTCTCAGCTTTTTAAAAGGTCACATGAGCAACAAACCTCTCTTCATAAACAAAACCTGACAGCCAGTTGCCAAATTAACACCCTTAATTACATCCGGCATTTCTTCGTTTTCTGCCCACAGGCAGTCACCTACTGGAAAGCGATACATCTGATGACACCATCAGGTGCAGAAGCCCTGTGTCACATCAGAGAGCAGACAATTTAATGACAGCCAAGTGCGAGAATCAAACACCATCACCTTTCAGTAGGAAAGCAAAAAAGCCTCCAACACCCACTGTCCTGAGCCAGTCTTATAGTCCAAGTCCCTTGCCATGTAGATGCTCCACAGCACAGGGCTGAGCAAGGCTCCACGCTTACTTCTGACCAAGGGCTCATAACAAGTAAGGGCTTCTGCAGTTTTTCAAATGGCTACGTTGGTGTATTAGCCCATCTTCCTTCAGCACACAAATTGCAGAGAAGGCAAGGCCACTGGGAAAAATCTCATTTTACAAGAATTATTTTTACAGAGCAATAAGGAACACTATAACTTGTTTTTGAGAAGCCTTCTGGATCACAGCCACTGTTACGGTTTTAGGAATAGTTTAGTAAGTCTGACCTAATCGGTCTCTCAGCTACAATATCAGGACTGTAATTGCACTATGGATTCTTATAGAGTTCCATAAGCAGTAAAGGAGTATCTCAGCAGAAAGCTATTTAACCATATCCTTTTAAAGAGAGATTAAGTACTCCAAACTTTGAGGACAGTATCTTTTGTTGAGATGGATTTCAACACAGGGAGAAGCTGACATGCATGGCTAGCCGCTAATGCCCAGTTCTGCTCAAATCAATGTTACAGGGGGCAGAGTTGGATGCTTACATCTGTAATGGGCTTTGTTTTAGCAACAGCATTATTGCACAGCAATGCTCAGTCAAGAGACTGAAGAAATCGTGCACACTCAGAGTACAAGTAGAGGAGACAAAAATACGTGCTAACCACATTTTGAAGTGAGTCAAGACAGCACGCAGGAGGCAGTTTTACATTCTCAGTGTCACATTTTGTTTTCTGAGCCTCTTTAATTCAGAATACTGTGTCTAAAGAACAGACATTTCACTGCAGAATGTCTATGAATAGCTACATCATCAGCTGTATCATCGCTGTAAAACCCCTGATCCTCTGCAGCTCTCCTAGTTAGTTTTTTCCAAAAAGCATATTTTCACGGCTTTCACAGCTAGAGAAATCACCATCATACGGTAACTGCTGAAATCACTGGCTGTATCACCTTACTTTGTTTGGAATTTTTAGCATTGTTTCAGCACTGAGATCTTCCAGCCTTAGAATCGTCTCTCCCCAGAAACAGAGAAGCCCAGAAGTTACCGCTGCATTCTCCTCTCTCCACACCCCGAGGGGATTAGGGAAAAGAATTCTTTATAGAAGCGGTGCAATGAATCCAGCCTCGGTTTACGCCATTTCACATCAGTACAAGACCAGGATCATCAAATCCTACAGAGACCACTTGCAGGAAATTACAATTGCAGGGGGATAGAGCTGCTGATTGCTCTCTATCGACTGGGACAAGGCAGCCTGCCTAAGCCAATGACTCCAGGGCAAGCAGGAAACCACTGCTAAAATATTCCTTCTGGTACTCCTGGAGGATCATTTGATCAAAAAGGTGCTTCCAACACCATAACTCCATAGCCAAAATTGACTCTCTAATGTGATGCGTATTCCTTTTTAAGTCTCCTTCCTTTCCTCCCTTTCATCACCCAGCAGAAAAATGAAAGGCCATAAGGATGTCAGGAGGAGCTGCCAGGATAGTTACACCAAGTCAGCAGACGACGTAGCAGCAAAGCTTCCTTCACTCTTTTGGCTGGAAACACTCTGCTACAAGCACCGGGTTACAGGTGTTTCAGGTGTTGATCACAGATCCCCCCAAAGAGATAAAGTTTTCAAAGAAACACTGCACTTTTGAAGCACAGAGGCACGCTGCCCGGGATACGGAATTACATAACACATTTGCATTCATTTAATCCCACGTATGCTTACAGATTTACATTCCTATTTCAGAGCCTCGTACAAGGAAGTCCAGAGCACACAAGCTACGTTCACCAATAGGCTGTGACACCGAAATAAAGCAGCTGCATTGAGCAGGTAGAATTCATCACTTAACGCACAAAAGCTACATGCAAACAGGCGTCGCTGCGTGCCTAAGGCTGACCGACGTCTGCTGATTCTGCTTCCTATAGAATGCATCCTGTTAGAACGGGCCAACCTAAAACGTGCCCGCGCGTTCCCGGCTGCCGGGAGCAAGGGAGCAGCGCTCCCTCCAGCACCACCTGCTGAACCCCACCCTCATCACCCGGACACAGCAGTAATTTCTGCTCTTTCCCTATCTAACCCCGTCCTGCCAGCTCCTCGACTGAACGCCACTCGGTATCCGTGCACGGGAGATATTTTTAAGCCCCCGTAAAGAGCACCGTTGCATAACCTCGACGCGAGAGCTAACTTTTCCACGGACACCCTCCAATCCCCGCGCCAAAGGCCGTACGGCGAGGCTGCCTCGGGAAGCTCTCTCCCCCCGGGACGAAGCCTGCGATAGCCTGTTCCCACAGCCCGTGACGGCAACCTCGTCGAACCCACCACCGCTCCCGCGGCACGAGGCGAGCAGCGGGCCGAGCCCGCAGGAACGCATCTCGCCCTCACAGCGGCCGTAGCGCAGCCGCTCCCTAAGCCCGGGGCCGAGCCGCGGGGACGGCAGCTCCCCTCTCCCCGCCCGCGGTCCTCCTCGCCCCCGGCTCCGCTACGAGACGACGTCAGAGCAAAGCGCCGAACCGCGAAGACCCGCGCGTCCCGACTCACCAGCGTAGAAGCGGATGAGGCAGCCGGTCTCGGCGTCCATGCCCTCCTCCTGCACCCGCCACAGGTCCCTGAAGCCCAGCTGCGAGAGGTAGTCGTTCTGGATCCGCAGCGGCTTCTCGTGACCCTCCAGCCGCCGGCTGGTCTCCCCGTGCAGCTGCACGAACAACGCGGGCGGCCCCGCGGGCGCCTCCCGGCCGCCCCCCGCCCCCGGGCACGGCTCTCCGGGCGGCGGGCGGCCCCGGCCCGGCCCCGCACCTGCCTCCGCGCCGTCGGAGGGCGCCGGCTCCGCCTCCAGCTCGTCCGAGGACGACGAACCGCCGCCGCCGCTGCTGTAGGGGTCCAGGCGTTCGGAGACGCTCTCGGCGCCTGGGCTGAAGCTCTCGCAGTCGGAGCCCGCCGGCCCAAGCTCGCCCAGCAGGGAGGGGCACGACAGCGGCGGTCCCGCCAGGTACAGCTCGGCCGGCGGCGCCGCGGGGTTCGGCGAGCCGCCCTCCTCCGTGCCTCCCGCGGGCGGCGCGCCTCGCGTCCCCCGCCGGTTCCCGGGCCGCTCCCCTTCGGCCGTCGGCTCGGCTGTCGCGGTGGCGAGGCCCTCCTCGGGCGGCGGGGGCTGCGGGCCCGCCTTGCCCGGCACCCGTACCACGCCGCCACTGCCGCCGCCGCGCGGGCCGGGCTGCTGCAGGCGGGCGGCCACCTCGGCCGCCGTGGTCTCCAGGGTGCAGAGCACCGGGCGCAGGTAGCGGTTAGCGTGGCGCTCGTAGACGTGCACGCAGCCCCGCTGCAGGTCCCGCCGCACCCAGTCCCGCTCCGGGGGCTGCAGCGGCTGCAGCTGGCGGGGCGGCTTGGGCAGCAGCGCCTTCCTGTCCAGGCTGCGGGTGCCCAGCGGCGCGGCGGCCGCCGAGAGGTTCCTCTTCAGCCGGCCCCGCCGCAGCAGCAGCGAGCCGCCGCCCGCCCCGCCGGGGGCCGCCGGCGCCGCGGGGGGAGCCGAGCCGCCGGCCGCCCCCCGCCTCCTCCGCGGGCCGCCGGCCGCCTCCGCGCCGCTCTCCGTCGCCGGACCCTTCCCGCCCGGAGAGCGTTCGGCCGCTTCTCTCGCTCGCTGCTGCTGTTGCTGCTGCGCGGGCTCCATCGCCGCCGGGGCCGCTGCCGCCGCCGCCCTCCTGCCGGGAGCGCCGCTCGGCCGGCGCGGAGAGGGGAGGGGGGCCCGAGCGGGGCGAGGCACCGCGCCCCGGGAGGGGGATGGGAGGGGGGGGCTCAGGGTGCAGCGTTCCGCCGCTGTCCCCGCGCCGCGCGCCCGCCTCAGCCCCGCTCTCCGCTCGTCGCCAGCGCCATGAGGGAGGCGGGCAGCCAGCGAGCCCGGCGCCGCGCCCGCCCGCGCCTCATGAATATTAAGCGGCCCCGCCGCTCGGGGGAGGTGGCCCGCCGTGACGACACCGCTCGCGCGGCGAGGCGGAGCCTCGCCCATAAACACAGCGTGACGCCGGGCGGAGGAGAGCGGTGGCTGCTGGGAAATGTAGCCCCCACCCCCGGCGACTACAGCTCCCGGCTGCGCGCGCTCCTCGGATTGTCGTCTCCCGCTCTTTTTCTCCGTCCCTCAGGCGAGCGCTGTTCGGCCGCCGCCCGGCAGCGCGTGCCCGTGGTGGAACGGCCTCATTGATCACACGGCCCCATTTCACCCACCGCGGTCGCGAGGCTGGGGCCGTCCCACCTGAGGTCATCTCGTCAGAGACGGCGTTCAGAGGGGCTGGAGGTGTTAAGGACTTGCACGCGCGCCGATGGAGCCGCTTGGTGTGAAGGGTCGCTGGGAAAGATCGTTATCCTGCCTTTGTATAGGGCTAGAATGGCTGAAAATATTTCCTGACAAACTGCTGAAGAATCAGTATCTAGACGGCAATACTCCCTCCTCCCACCTGCAAATAAAGTTAATTTAAATGAATAGCTGAAAGGATAAATCACAACCAGATAAATGCAATTAGCACAAAGGCACAAGCCTATTTATCTGCAGCATTTATTCAGAGAATTCGCTTATGCTCCTGGGGACGTTTTAGCTGAGTAACGTGGGTCGGAAGGGGCTGTAGTTGCCTGAGGTCATTCCTTTTTAATACAGTTTGTAAAATGGCAGCAAAACATGATGCCAGAGACTCATCACAAGTGCTGTGCTCCGCAGTAAAGTGGGGGTTGTGGTGCAGCACTCAGTGTATTACAGCCCGATTCTGTGTGCTCCCCACGTTCATGATTCCCACAGATTCAGAGCACCCTCATGCCACCTGTTTCACAAAGGTTATCCCAGGTCTCCTAATTTAAGAGCACGAGAAAAACACTTCATGTGCAAAGGCACACACCAACACACTCAGCAGAAGAAGACAGCAGGCTCTGGAGACGTTCTTGTTAGCAGTACCACTTGAAATAAAAGGCAGTTTGTGGAAAACAGTCTGTTATCCTTGAAGGCAGTCCTTGGAGTGAAGCAGAGAGAGAAAGAAGCTGTGCTTTTCTCTAATTGTTCAATTATCTGACTGTTCACGCTCACAAAAAAGATCTAAAACACAGAGATCTTCAAATACGTCTTAGGAATGCAGAACTGGAAGGGAGGTTTCCTGGGACATCAGGTGTGCCCTTGTCCCCGAAGATCCCAGGTCTCCATACCTAACTGAATGTCCTCCCAAAGCGGACCAGGTGGGTCTGCCCACGTTACTGCTCTGGTGATCAGGAGCTTTCTTCCACTTTTCGATCTGAATTTACACATGGGTGGTCTGTACCCATGTGTTCCCATTGCCCTTTGACTCCAATAGCTTTTTTTTTTTTTCTTCTCAGTATCTCCCCACAATGTACTTACAGGCAGCTTTTGTATCCCTGACCAGTCTTTGCATTCTCTTTCCTAGACTAAACAAGCTCCTTTTGCCTCCCATGGCAAGATAAACTACACAGTGCAAGAACACTGGTGGTGGGCACCCCGTCCCTGGAGACATTCAAGGTTAGGCTGGACGGGGCTTTGAGCAACCTGATTTAGCTGTGTGCGTCCCTGTTCAGTGCAGCAGAGTTGGACTCGGTGACCTTTAAAGGTCCCTTCCAAATCAAACGATTCTGTGATTCTATGATAACACGGAGTGAAGGTCATTTCGGTAGCCTCGGGTCAGGCACGTGGTGGAGTGAGCTGGAGGAGCTCCGCACAATGCTGTGAGCCAGCAAGGGGCTGAGCTGACCTCGCTTCTCCTGCTGCTCGGCTGACTTGCTGCTTCCCCCGGCCTTGCTAATGAAGGGCTTTAGGCAATCAAACAACTAAATGGTAGCAGCCCAGAGGATGGAAAACTGCTGGATTTGTCTCTGCACTGTGAGATTTGCTCAGGAGCAGGAGGCTGCGGTGAGGCTTCCTGTGTTGTGCCATGGGGAGAGAAGGCAGTACGCTGTATCTCTCCCCAGTTTCCTGAATAGTCAGGCAGTGATTTCTCTAACATGCCAGCATCTCCAAATGCAAAGTGGTACAGAGCCAGGTTGTTTCTGCTTTATGCAGAGAAGCGTGTTTGAAATCTTGTAATTATATGCGTGTTCAAATTGAACTCTTAGGCATATGAGAAGACTGTGCAATTCTCCGTTTCCCAGTAACTGATCAATGCTTTTTAAACCTCTAGGAATTGTGAATTTTGCTGCAGATTGACTACTGCTATGAGATGTGGAGAATGGAGCTTATGAAATTGATTTTTGTCAGATGGAAGTGGAAGGGTGAAACGCACATCTTCCTTTTCTAAAGTTTGATTGATGATGGCTATTTTGAAGAATGGTAAAATGAAACAGGATGGTTTGCAATCTGCAGTTTTCCAGCTGGAGTCTGGCAACCTTGATGAAGAGTTTTCTGATTATAGGAGTTCTATAGAAAATAAGGGAATAAAAAGTAATCTATCACAGATTACTCTGATACCATACCAAAAGTCTTTATATCAAGTGGGCAAATTGTGCATACCCGCAGACAACGTCAAGAAACACCAGAAGGCCTTGAAAGCCCACAATGACCTCTGTGTAATATGCCCAGTTATCAGAGGCAGACAACATACAGCCTTCATAGAATCATTTTTGCCATAAACTATACTCAAAGAGAATTGTTGAATTACATTGAATATGCAACAATCACCCAATTTGCTTTTTTTTGTTGTTGTTTTTTTTGTTGTTGTTTTTGTTGTTATTGTTTTTAAATAAAGTCTTTCAAGAAAACATGCCTTCATTAAACAGGAATTATTGAATCCCTACTCCTCAACTGCAGAAAACTTGGCTGACGAGTCAGTTCTGGATGAAAAGCTGATGAGCACCGAGAAATGCTAATGTGGGAAAAATTCTGTTCATTTTTCCTCTGCTATAAGTCATCATCAATGGCGCTGTTGAACGTTCATCTGTGATTTAAGAAGGTATAAATCACCTAAGTGATTCCAGTTAGCGCGTGAAGGTGGGGAGGGAGTTTAGAAAGAAGGAATTTCATGTTCTTTAACACTGTAAAATGCTAGGGGGCTTATTCAGCTCTCTTCAGTAGCCTGTTTTTCTAGTCTGGGAGATTTTCCCTTCACTCGTGAAAGCAAGAGACCGATTTCAATGTCAAAATACTTAAGGAAAAGACAAAACATTTGCTACTGTAAAAATAATTCAAAGAGCAAGAGAAAGATGAGCAAAGGGACCATTTCGAATTGAACAATTTAATAATATCCTTCATTGTAAAGGGAAATTGAATGTCTTCATACAGAAGCTCTTCTGACAATAATACCTAATTTTATCAGTAGTGATGATTTCCAGTCTTTAAAATGCTAGGTACGCACCTGTATGCCTCATCAATCGGTGGGGCTGTCACAACTGTAGGAGCAAATTGGGTATGCACATAACAAGGAACAGAAAATTTACACTGCTGCTCCAGCTGGGAGCTTAAACACAGCACCGTGTATGCTCTGGGCTGCTTGTGCTCATCCAGCAGTGTAAGGTCTTCAGCGTAGTAAGGCATTTAAGATGGTGCTTATTCAACAAAACTCTTAATTATGAATGTGCTTTTAGATTGAGCATACGATTAAGCAGCATTCTTGAATAGAGAAGTTTCCATTAATTGATGCCTGAAATAGAATCATAGAAACACAGGGTTGGAAACTACCTATAAGATCATGTAGTCCAACTGTCTCCTCATCACCTTTGCCACCACTAGCACTGAAAGTAGAGTTAGCCTTTAAATTATCTAACAGGTTGCACTTGTGTTTATATATTCAGGAATGGCAGAGTTGCACTGCCTGGAGGCTTGTTTGTACTTACATCCCCCTAAATAATTTTCAGCAAGGCTTGATCTGTGTTTCTAATTCCAAAACCACTTCCACTCAAGTTATATCAACACCACTAAATGTTATTCAGCTCTGCACCTCAAAGCACTATGCAAAAATATAATTATTTCCATGTTACAGGGAGAGGAGAAAAGAGCCGAGTGCCTTCCTGGCTGCACGTTAAGCTCTCTGGAAGGAAATGGGCAGAGTTCAGGTCCCCACATCCTTCAAGCAGGACATGAGGCTGTGAAGCACCCTTCTGGCTGAAGGAACATCTTGCCTCTGCTTCTCCTGGGCTGGAGCTGGGTGCAGCACTCTTGTTGCGACGGTCAGTTGGCACACAGCATTATCTGCCAGCAGTATGTGGCTCTCCCATCCCCAAGGAGGAAGGTCTTTACTCTTGCAGTTCCACTGCTTGCCACTGAGATTTCAGCTTCTGGCAGAGCTGAGCTGTACTGCACTCAACACGGTACGGATTTCCTATGCAGTCACCAGCAGTGTGGTGCAGAGATCCTTTGGTTGCACAAATGCTTTCTGTCGTGATGCATGCAGGTTGCAGTATGCCAGCATTGCAGTTAAACAGTTTGGAAGTACAGTGTCATTACCAAACTGTGGAATTTCTTCTCCAGCACAAACTTCTTGTCTTCATCGTGTATGAAGAAAACAATTTACAGAAATAAATACCTGCTTCCCCATTGCTGAAAACCACACATCAAGGAAACAAATTCAAGAAGAAACACCGGCTTTGTTGCCAGGATTGATTACAGGGTGGTGTTAACTGTTCCAGTGTCAAATCCTGTATTAAAATTATAACATTGTTTTACAGATTTTGTTTTTCATTTGTGTTGATATGAATTGCAAAGCTAGACCTTCTAATTCCCTGTGGATTCAGCAACCTCTATACACTAATCCTCTTACTGCATCTTTGGCTCTTCCATCCTCTGCTACATATTTTTTTGTTTTTTTAAAAGGAAGAGAGCTTCATTTTCAGTTAGATGCTAATGCACTGAAAGATTCTCTTCCAGAACTGTAGTAATCCTTCCATGTAATTATTTCATTTTATCTTTGAGGCTGGTATGGCTTCTTAAACCCATTTTGTTTCAGAGCCTTACAACTCCTGGAGGTACAGTATTCATCACTACTGATAGAGATGGATTATGGTGGATTCATTAAGCTGTAACCAACGCAAAGACTTGGATGCAATGTTTTTACACACTATATAACCCTAACCAGCACAGCTGGCATATTTTGAAATGACCCAGGAGATCCAAACATTTTTAGTATCAGTTTTTCGTGAGGTTTGTCATCTCCCTCTGATTCACTTGGAAGCATCTCAGCCAAGTGATGGCACTGCCTGTTGAAGGGCCGTACATGAAGGCCTTTCACTAAAGCTGAGCATATTTTTCTTCCATACCACACATTTGGCAACAAGGCTGGCTGAGAAAGTGCATTCTGCTTTTCCCTTATATACGTCACTTCTGTATGCTATGCTGCCCTGTGACTCTGAGGCTGCCCTGGCAACTGGGAGATGGAAATGCTCTTCATTAACAGGAATTATGCCTTAAGAATGTCAGGTATTGCTTCAAGGCAGTAAGAGTCTATCTCATAAATGCATAGTTTACTTGTGAATGAATATGATGTGAGAAGAGCGCCGTGGAAGATAAAGTTTCAAAATATGTTACTGATAATTTATATCAGTGCAGTCAGTGCTATCAATGGCTGCAGCTACAGTAATTTACAAGAAGTATGAGCACAGATGCACATTATGCACTTTGAGGGAATTATTTAACTTTATTTCTTGAACTTGAAAAGTGTGTCTTGTTAAAAGTAAACGTAGAAATCCTCCAAGGAGCTTAATAAAATAAAGCCATATTGTCAGGATCAATCTAGAAGGTAGTACTAAAGCAGCCATCTCAGCAGTGGAAGTGTAGTTGTAGGGCCGTGCATGAAATTAAGAATGCTTTTAGCAATACAGTAGGACAACATGAATGAACCCAGTATTGAAGAATGAGTCTAAACAAAATATTCAGAACAGTGAGGCCAACCTGCAGCCTAGAGGTGATAGGGCTCCCCAGGCAATGACCAGGTTGTGGTGAGGCCCTGCCTCACGCCCTCTGTAAGTCTTTGCGGAAGCTGATGTGGTGCAGGTGGGGAGCAGCTACCATTTCAGCATGCAGATTTCAGTGAGGTAAAGAACCATTCTGCACCGTAAGCTTTGCAGATGTTGGCCAGGGCACAGCAAATCGTGCTCACAGGTATTTATTTGACATCCAAACTGTTTCAGCAGCATTGTTCTGCTTTCAGCTTCCCAAAGGTGCCCTGTGTTGTTCTGTGAATGCCACAAACAGAGCTGAATACTCTGTGCGACTTCACCAGCTCTGGCAGGAGTGAAGATAACCAGGTTCCCCAAAGGAGCACAAATTCTCCTTGCTACAGCAGAATAGTCTCATCTTTTCCAGGTGCATAATGCCCAGCTACCATCACCGGTCCATGCTCTCCATAGTAGCAAGCACCCATGACCTACCTATTGCACAGATCGAGATGCATTTTGTGGATAAAATTTTCCTTGGCCTCTTGTGCTGACAGGTGATGAACTTGTGAAAACCTTTGTACAGCTGAGGTCTGTGGCACTTTGAAAGTCAGCTAGATTTTGAGGAACTCTACATCTGCCAACAGACAGGGGTAAGCCACCTTCATAACAGGATCGCTTCAGCTTCCGCCTGCCTGGTGCATTTCTTTGGCACACCAGGCAGCTCCATCCTGCATCAACAGCAGGCCTGGAATTCATGCTGTGCAAACTTAACCTTTCAAGCATGAATTTCTGACAAAGGTGGTTGCCCAGAGCAAATGGTGAAGGCTTTTCTTGCAGAGATGAAAAGGTGGAGAGAGGGAACCAGCTTGGCAGCTGGGGCAGTAAGCAATCAGCGTTGTGTTTTGTTTTGTTTTAAAAGTGTTTGAAGTTTTTCCTGTGCGGCTGACTTGTGTTGCAGCAGAGAAGACCTCACCATGGAGCGTTTCTCCCCATCATCTGCAGACGGGCTGCTGGCAGCACTCCCATCCACAATGATCTAGCACAGCTGGCCTGCCAGGATTTCTGTCTGATAGCTGAATATTTTGTGTCATGCCGTTCTTGGCTGCCCTTTTATACTTTCTCCATGTTACAGTGCACAAGAACCTCCAGCAGATTCTCGGGTGATGGGCAGGAAACCATTTACCACGTCCTTCCTCCAAGCTATGGTATTGCTTTCAAAAAGCATAATCTAATTGCTAGAATCTGAGGATTTGTCTTTGCTTGCTTTAGCCAGAGCTCTGGTGCCTCGATGCCATCAGGTGTGGCTCCTCTCCATCACATACCCTGAGAAGAAAGGTATTGCATCATTGCATGCACTGCCTCTTGCTGGCTGCAGTTCTCCATTCTCCAGCACATGCAGAAAGTAGTGGCTCAGAGGCTGTGCTGACTCTCCCTCCATCCTTAGTGCCACGGAACAATTTTTGAAGGAAGTGATCATGCTGAGCCAGTGTGGCTATGGGGTAATGGAGGCCACACAGGCATGATTTTGCTGGAGATGAAGGAAGCCACGTTGTTTGGAAAGCCTTCACATGAAGCTTGGAGCAAACGCACTCACTGCAGAGGAGAGGTGTACCTCTCCCAGGGAGTAACAGGTGAGCCAGAACGTGCTGAGATGGATGCTTTTCTTTCCTGTAACATCTCCTTGCTGTCACGCCTCAAGCAGAATCATTGAAGAGGTTGGACTGAAGAGACCCTGGAGGTCATCATTCTGTGAGCACCAAAGTGAGATCACATCGCCCAGGGCCTCGTTGTACACGAGGCACAAGTCAGGCAGGGCTTTGCAGGCTGAAATTAGCAGCCTGACTCACAGGACAAAAAACTCGTTGTCAGTGAGATGGCTGCTGAATGCACGTAACGACAGATTGTCAAACACGTAACCAACCAACTGCTCCTTTCTTTCAGGAGCTGAGGAATGGAAATCATTTGTGACATTTCCAATCTACGTCCTCTCAGGAGCATAAAGGTGACTGCAGAGGATGAAACCACTGGTCTTGCCAACAGTGTCCCGCTGAAGGAGGCTGTCACTGCAGCACGCCAAGGGGACATGCAAGCAGCACGGTGGCAGGCAGTGTGGGACAAGCAGCTCTAGAAACCTTTCCCAAAACTGCTGCAATGGGAGGCTGGCTGCTCCCCAGAAGCCCAAGAGTGTAAATCCTTTCCAGAGCCCCTGTTTATTTTTATGTATGTATTACTAGCCCTCCAGCCCTCTTTCAAATCCTGCTAAGCTTTTGGTTGTGATGACACTCAAGAGGAATGGATTCCACAGAGTGATTGCATGCCACACAAAAATTTATTTCCTTTTTATCAGTTTTAAAAGCTTCCCTTTTCAATGTAATTGAACGTTCCCTTGTGTTTATACAGTGAAAGCGAAACCAGCAGCGTATGTTTATGAGGGCATTTGCTGGACAGAGGCTGAGCCTGGCTTCCCACAGCTCCAAGCCAGGGGAAATCACGCAGAGAAGAATAAGCAAATCAATGGTTCTTTTAATCAAATTCAACAGTAATTTGCAAGAAGAGGAAAATCTTATTCTTGAGCATTTTCATGGGAAAATTAGTCCTTATAACAGACAAAAGATTTTTGCTTTTTTTTTTTTTTCTTTCCTATTTGCCATCCAGGAATGATTTCATACATTTTCACCCTCACCCTGTCCTTTTGTTCCAGCTGCAAAATGTACACACGAACACCTCTTACTAAAGAGGCTAATTAAGCACATGATCCCTTTTCCCTTCTCATAAAAGCTGCTGGAGAGCAACCCAAGCAACGTCCTTACTACAGCTGTGCTCAGAAAGCTCCTTCCTTGGCAAGGGAAGGGTACTTGTGATGGCAAGACAAGTCTGTTCCCACATTTCCTGATGTGCTGGGGTCACATCACACGTTCAAGCACTGCTTTAACAGGGAATAGAAACATGGGCAGAAGTGGGTTTTTTTGGTGTCACTACATTTCAGCAGATGTTACAGGCTCAATTATCCCAGCACTTCAGCTGTAACATTGCATTTTCTCTCAGCTCCATTTATTTGGCTGAAACCCTTTCGTTGGAAGACACTGCCTTCTGTAGCTGGAGCTTCAGCGCGGTAGAGCTTGACAGCTACCTTTGGTAAGCAAATTTATCTTTTGGGATTGACTCCACAGCCCAGCTACAAATCACTTTTGACATACAGCTGAACAAAACAAGCTTCTTAACGTGGAGTATAATACACCTGCCCATTCTAGACTATCCAATGCTTTGATGTGGGCTCATTAGTCACAAAGAATAAGTCAGCGTTCAGATAAACTACACTTCTGCAAGGCAGGAAAAGTCTACGTTCAGCATCCTCACAGGAAAGGTGAGCATCTCTGCGTGTCGGGAAACAACGTATACATCCCACAGCTCCTGAGTCACAGCTGGGAAATGCAGCAAGGCAGTTATTCCATTCTGAGGTCGACTGTGATGAGCTGTGTTGGAGTGGTGGGCAGTTTTAAGAAATGGGGATCACTTCTTTCATTTTGACTTCCTGCCTTCGCCGACTCTATAAGCATACCGTGGTCACCTTTCTTTCCTGCCTTGCTTTGTGAAAGAGAACTGGGCATTTGTAATATGTATAACATAAACATTTTAAACACTTTCTGAGGAGCACAGGTAATGCAGTGTAAATGAAGTTGAAAATAACTGGGAATGATGAGCCAGGCAAATAATATAGGAATCAGCCAAATGCTAAGCAAGCAAGGTAAAGAAAACGCTTCAAGAGAATCATTTTCTTTTGAAATCTGCCTAAACAGAGAATACATCTCTCTCCTGTCCCCTGCTTTATGAGCACACGTACATGTTGATTGGTAAGAAAGCAAGAGCTGCCACTGTACCGCATTGCGATCTATAGCAAGATGTGGCAGCTTTCCTCTATTCCTTACCAGAAATTCAGTAGAACAACAAGGAGAGGGGACACATTAAAGTTTTATTACTTCAGTGGCAGTATTCTCCAGAGAAAACAATAATAAATTCCCTACACTGTGACTGTCTAAATAGATTATCCAACAATTATTATTAATTATTAATCATCCACTGACTCAGAAGCCACCCCGTGGCTGCCTACTGCAAGAATCCTACAGCTTTTGCAACCTAATGATATGATTTTCCAAATTACAATGTTGCAGTGCTAAACCATATGAAAGGTTAATGGGAGAGGGAGTGATGAAGTGATACAAATGTCCAAAATTGTACCTTGACTTGCTGGCAGTAGGTTGTGAAAAAGCAACCCAAGCAAATTCAGCAGAAAACTAGTTAACTTAAGGATTATTACAAGAACTGAAGTGGGAGTTGAAGGCATTTTAAAGGGTCTGTGAATTTGTGAAAATACCTTAAAATAGTCCAGGAGGCAAAAAAATCTTGTTCTCTTCTGTTACCGAAGAGCACCTTTTCCAACCCAGCATACAAGTGGCAAGGCTGAGTGCTGTAATTCATATCACCTATGCGCATCCTTGGCTGCCCATGTTTACCACAAGATTGATTTCTCATTCTTAAGCACATTTGTAACGTCTGTGCAAATGAATGTAGGACACATCCCAACAAGATCAATATTTATGCAGCCTACTTTACAAAGAACAAGAGAGTTGCTTCAGCGCAGCAGGGGACCTACTCATTGGCTTTCCTGCAGTTTCTTCTTTTCCTCCTTTTCCACACAGTTTTCCTGCTGAGTGCTCACTGCTGATTAAAAGCAGTGCTAACGAAAAAAGTAGTGAAGGCTGCCTGGAGCAGTGGGACCCCATAGGGACACACAGCCAAATGCAGCGCCCATAGCTCCTGTCCGCTGCTTCCTCCAGCCCCATCCATCTGCTTCCCTGTGGCTCACGGCTGCTCACACTTCATGCCACTTGCAAAAGAGCAGCAATCAATTATCCTAATTAAATGCAACAATGGAATATTGAATACCGTGGTTTATTTCCTGCTCTAAAGGTTGGCGTCTTTAATGTGTGCTTTCCTCACGCTGCTTGTCACAGCTGATCTCGTGCGTTCATTTTGTGTTATAAACAGAGAGGGGAGACTGAATGGTACCCGCAATCAATCAAAAGGCAGAAAGGGAGCATTAAAACATGCCAACCTTTGCGCAGTGTGCAGATGTTGAAAAGCATCCCCACCTGCATTTTTTCCAGCTCTCAAGTCCCTGGCTTTTAGGAGGCTGCATCTTCACCTATCACTGGCAGGAGGTGGCCATATGAATTGTCTTCTTTCTGCCCTATTTATCAGGAGACTTTTTTTTACCCTGACTTGAATAAAGTTAGAGGCCCTCAAGTTCACCTACTGGTATGGGTTTCTGCAGAGCTGTACATGTCTTTAAAAATAAATTGGAGTTCAAGATCAGTAGCTTCACCGTATCCATACCCTCTGATTCACAGAGCTGGTTTAATTCTCCATCTCATAAAGCACACATTGCAGATATAAAACCCATTCCCAGCAAGCATTATTTTTTTTTCCAAGGGACTCCACCACGATTCCAGCATTACAAACTCCAGGTTATTAATGAGCCTTCATTTCCATGGCTGTACCACTGAAATGCAACATTAGCAAATAGCACGTTGAATGCCTCTGCTGTAAATAGTTCAATTTTCCCGAGTAGCTAACTAGGCAATAAGATCCCTGTCACTTTTATGTTGACAAAGTATCTTAGTTACTAAGTAACTATAGAGATGTTTCCCTCCTGCTTGACGTAATTACAAAATGCCTTTCATTAGCTGGTGAAAATGTTCGGGCTCAAAGCACAATTCCTACAGCACGCTTCCCTGTTTGCAGGGAATGCAACTTACGGTGACCTATATCAGCTAAGAAGATTTCCTGCTTATTTCCCCGTGCCTATAGCCCCTTACATCCAGGCTGCAGCTGCCTCCCAAACTGTGAGCTCAGCCCCCATTGGTTTTGCTGCATCCCTGATCCCCAGACAGACCTCTCTCAGCCCGTGTGGGCTTCGTCCTTGGTGCTGGCTGAAGCTTTGGCCTACGGAAGCTGGGGCTCTGTAGCCTGTGCCTGCACACATCCCACTCAGGGTTAGCATATTACAGGCACCATTTGATCATATTTGTGATACAGCAGAAATTGTAACACATAAACAGTACTGATGTAGTTTCAGCAGATGCTTTTTCCTCGATGCTAGGAGGTGACAGAGGCTCCACCACCTTCCAGACTGGCTGTGCCTCACCCTGCTGCCCCAACTGGCTGTACATGTTAGATTTTCCCTCAGTGACTAGCCTGAAACTTCCTCACTGCCTCACAGGCAGAGCAGTGCAATTCTGTTCCTCTCTTTGGCATGTTGCAATGGCCTCCTTTCCTCCTTCAGGCAGGACTACAGCTAAAGGCAGCTTTACTTGTCCTCCATCACGTCTTACAGATGACTGCTTGCAGCTCGGACTTTGTTAGCCAGGTCTCCAGGTATCCGAGGTCAGAGTATAGCCGCCAGCCTGCAAATAACTGACTTCAGCATCGCTGCCAATGCACAAATAGCTAACTTCTGCACAACATCCTCTGCCTTCCTTGCTAGGGGCACCTGCCCTCATCCTTTTGCCATTGCTGTTAATTGCATCATCCACCCACAGGCAGCTGATGCTTCAGGGAAAAGAAGTCAAACATAAAAAGCACTGGGCGTCTCTCCCACCAAAAGGAAAGCCGCCAAAAATCTCCCATTTCAGCACATTTATCCACCATTCCTGCCAGTACGGCTGCTCTGTGGCTACTGGCAGTCCCAATACCTCATGCTAGTGGCACCTGGTTTCCACCTCATTCTTCTCCACTCCTGTACACTGGGGCTATGCTTGGAATGCAGCTCACCAGCCCGGTGTGTCTTCTGCCCACTCCTCCCACCTGGGCTGGAGATGGATGAGGACAACAGCTAGAGGGAGCGAGCGGGGGCAGCAAGCTTTGGGGCCACTCACAAACCCAGTAATCAACCAGCTGGTTCCACAGAAATCCACCTTTTCTTCCTTCTCTTTGGATGACAAATGAAAAAGAAACTTACATCAACACGGAGGTGCTCTCTTCCTTGTTTACAGAGATCCCTACCTGCAGGCAATGGCAGCCTATAAACTCTGTCTGCAGCCCAAGGGATCATGCCAGGCCCTTACAGAGTGTGCAGTAAGAGTAGTGCCACTGGGCAAACACATCCCTCTTTACTCCAATTAGTATCACTGCCAAAAAAAAAAAAAAAAAGGAAAGAAAAAAATGTTTATCAGTCTATGGAAGATTTGTCCCGTTTGCTTCAGGCTCCACCTATCCATGGAGTTAAACATTTATCGACGCCTGTGCAAGTGCAGCCAGAGAGCTGAACAAAAGCTGAACATTTCCAAAATGAAGCCAGCTCCCAGTGCCAGAAGATGTGGTGCTCAAAGGAAACTAAGATGAGCAAGACTGCAAAGCTGAGATGCCTGCGCTTGTAAATTGCTTGCAACAGGTCCAACAATTACCTGCCTGGTGCTGTTGTTTTACCTTTTGCCTACCACTGGGTATGCAGTTAAGCTCATTAAAGTGTGGCATTGAGTCACCTCATTTGTCTGCAGCTACTTATTGGCCATTATAATAACAATTGTGTGATACATGCGAAAGCACGCCAACGTCATGTGGATGCCTTCCTCCTGGAAGCATTCAAGGCCAGCGGATGGAGCTTTGAGCAACCTGGTCTAGTGAGAGGTGACCCTGCCTATGGCAGGGGGTTGGAGCTAGATGATCTTCAAGGTCCCTTCCAACCCAAACCACTCTATGATACTATGATCCTATGGTCCTATGATTCTATGATACTGTGACCATGGTGGCTGTATTTGTATTCTGTCCAGCTGCAGTATCATCCAACAAGAGCCCGGTTGCAAAACACTCGCGGTTGAATTAAGAGCAATTTGAGGCGCAGAGTGGAAAGCTCAACCACATGCAAACATACCTGCATTATGCTTGCTCCCTCCCTAATTGCAGATAAGCAGAGCCCAGGCATTTTTCTTTCCATCCAGACTGGATTTGAGAATAAGCGATGCGTGGCGTCCCTCAGGGGTTGGTACTGGGACTGATGTTCTTTCATATCTTCATCAATGACATGGCAAGTGGGATCAAGTGCACCCATAGCAAGTTTTCAGATGACACCCAGCTGTGCAGTGTGGTCGACATGCCCAAGGGAAGGGATGCCATACAGGCAGACCCAGACATGCTCAAGTGGTGAACCCAGGAGAACTTAATGAAGTTCAAAAAAGCCAAGTGCAAGGTCCTACATCTGGGTCACAGAAACTCCTGTTTCTGTTATCAGCACAGCCCTGATGAAAAGGACCTGGGTGGATGGAAAGCTGGGCATGAGTCAGAAATGTACCCTCACAGCCCAGAAAGCCAACCGTGTCCTGGGCTGCATCAAAAGAAGCGTGGCCAGCAGGTTGAGGGAGGTGCTCCTGCCCCTCTGCTCTGTGATGGTGAGGCCTCGCATGCAGTACTGCATCCAGATGTGGAGTCCTCAGTGCAGGAGAGACGTGGATCTGTTGGAGTGTGTCCAGAGGAGGGCCACAGAAACGATCCATGGAATGGAACAGCTCTCCTAGGAGGACAGGTTGAGAGAGCTGGGGCTGTTCAGCCTGGAGAGGAGAAGGCTCTGAGGTGACCTGATAGCAACCTTGCAGTATCTAAAGAGGGGCTATAAGAAAGAAGGGGACAGAATCTTTAGCAGGGTTAGTTGTGATAGAACAAAGGGAAATGGCTCCGAACTAACAGAGGGGAGAATTAGATTGGATATAATGAAGGAGTATTTTACAGTAAGGGTGGTGAGGCACTGGAACAGCTTGCCCAGAGAGATGGTGGGTGCCCCATCTCTGAACACATCCAAGGTCAGGCTGAAGGGGGCTCTGAGCAGCCTGATCTCACTGTAGGTGTCCCTGTACATTGCAGGGAGTTGGATTAGATGGCCTTTAAGAGTCCATTCCAACCCAAACTTGTCTGTGATTCTGTGATAAGAAAACAAGGGAGACCCGAGATTATAATAGGAGTCAATACCTCCTTCCCTAGGTGCTGTAGGCATCCAGCATGTGCTATCCAAGAGCGATTTTCTAGCCCCTCCCACTTACAACTAATGCCATCAAGAAACTTATTCTGTAGCAGGAGCAACTTCTCCCGCTCCTTCACATACCAGCAGAGAGAGTTATTGCTGCAGTTTGGCCAAAATCCTTAAACTGAGCGGCAGTGTGGGGATAACAAAAGCTGTGAATCAGCTAGAAGAAAGAGTGGAAAAGGAAACAAGGATTGTATCACTGGCTGCACCTCAAGTGCTAATGGGAATTTGGCCTGTGTGCAGCAGATTGCAGATTTGGGTGGGTGCAGTGTAAATCCTGGTCACATCTTCCTCTGGCACTTGGTGCTGCTTCTAAAAAAAATTCAGATCTCAGGCTCTGAAAAGAGTTTTTGCAAGGTTTTTAAGAAAGGTAAATATATGGAGAGGGAAAAGTAATTATATGTATCATATACGTGTGTCATGCAAGACAATCACAAATTTTTACACAAATATGCAGGGAAGTATTTCTTTTAGCCACCTTTAAGGGCAGCCAGCATCTGATTGAGGGCATACTTTTTTTTTTTTTTTGCAGTAGAAACATTCTTGCTGGTGATTTATTGTCATGAAAAACAGAACAAATGTTAGACTGTGTCCTGTGAATACCCTGGATAAGATCTTAAATCACAAGATTTTGCCTTTCAAATGATCCTCATTGCAGCAAGCCCTGTGTTTACTAAGAAACATAAGCTATGAAGAGAGTGAGTTGTGTTTGCTGCAGCAATATACGAGAACAATCATTTTGTGGTTTTGGAAAATCCCTTGCTGTTTTCCTTGTATATCTAGAGAACGATTCCTTCTTGCCAAGGCAAAAGAAGACAGAAGCTCAGGCTATCCTAGAAGCGTGCTGTGTGCTTAATTCCATAATGGAGATCCAACGTAAAACACCAGGGCTGCAGACAAGATGTGAAATCTCACAGCTCCACATGAGCCCTCTCTCAGGATTGAGGACAGCTCCTGGCTCTGCTTTTGTTGCAGTAATGCATGGAGTCCTGGCACAGAGCATACATTAAGATTCATTGATAGTAGTTGCAGCTCCAGGGGGCAAGGAAGAGTCACATCGGAACCATACGCTTCCTGCCCTCACGGATCATTTCTCCCACCCAACCCAGAGTCAGGCTCGCTCTCCCTTTCCACCAGAGATGTCTTGCAAGAGTCTGGCAGCATCTCCTCCCCCAGAAGCAGTCAGGCGGTCACAGCGGGATGTGCTGCCCTGGATGCACCGGCGGGCCCTGGGGAGCCCCTAACATATGAGGGAAAAATAGGACTTAGTGTCTTACCTCAGTAGACACCAGGTATTCGTTAAGAAAGCGTTCCCTGGCCTAAGACAGGCATATTAATCTCGAGATAAAACAAATTAAAAACCTTTAGTCTCTGTCAGGACGGTTTCTGTGGTGCGCGCGCAGGTAACGTATGGAGTTTCTAGTGGCCTGGGCACATTTTGTTACCTGAAATCAATTAGTCAGAGTTCCTTGATCTTCATCACGGGATCCAGCAATTGTGCAACTTTGGAAAAACCTCCTGTTGCACCATATTTGGTGTCACCTCCATCTACAATACAATGTACAATCAAGGCTGTATTGCGAGCAGCGGCCTATTTGTACATCACACATACCTCTCCCTGCCCACCTGCATACAGCTGCACATACCAAACGCTGCCTGCCTGCTGGGGCAAACAGCAGGCAATCCTCCTTTCTGCACAGACTGAAGGAAATGAGGTCAGAAGCTGAAGTTTGTCCCTGGCCACCTTGGTACGTATATAATGACCAGCAGGAAAGACATTTCACAAAGGGGAAAGATGACTGGCCCTTACCCCGAAATACTTCAACCCCACAGGTTCCCTGCTCCAAGTGAACCTTTCAGAAGAAAACATGAATCACCACACAGCAATGTGACTTCTTCTAACATCCCCGAGTCAACAAGGATGGTGATCAGACCACGTTGTTTTATAGATATGCATGAACCAGCCCTCACCTCAGAGTTCTTGCAACACTTCTGTGATGAGCAGACAGCAAGTGCGCCTTCTCAAGGCATTTAAGCTCTTAATCCCACTGAAACCAGAAGGAAGAAGTCAGCCTTGAAGATCTGGCTTAAATGAAGCAGGAGATGATCACACAACAGGTTGCATAGTGTTGGAGAAGACAGTAATCCTGATGTCTCCTGAGTCCCAGCCTTCTGCTCCTTATGCCTATGTTCATGCCAGAATGCTTAATCTCCTAGAAGCTTATGCTAAGATTTCTGTGTTTGTTTAAATTTTAAAATGAAACCTAATCCCCTACAGGGAAGCCTACATAACTATTTTTTTTGCCCAGCCCAGCCTAGAGGCAAACAACCCTACAACTTCTCTGCAGATCTGCTGCCACAGAGAAGATGAAATACGATTCTCTTGGTTGTTTTTTGTTTGTTTTGTTGGTTTTCTTTTAATCTCCTTCATTGATTTTTTTCCCTGGGTTCATGAAGGGTTCACAATTGAGAGTGATGGTCCTGTGGGTCTGACCATCCATTTTAAGTGCCTTGTTTTGCATTAAAGCATTGGAGGATAGGCTGCAGTAAGAACGGTATGGTCAGAAATGCCTGAGGGCCCGAGGGCGCTACCATCCTATCCAAGTCTGTGACCACCTGATTCATCTTCTGGACACCAGGAGGTTGGGCTCCATCCCCAATGTATGAATGCTGAGCTACCGTGTGAGTCACAGGGATCTTCTAGGCACTGAATGTTGGGGACCAGGGCCAGATTTTGGAGAGGGTAGGGCTCCTGCCAGCGCCAGGCAGCAAGCGGTCACATGAGGTCATGTTTTGGCCATCACAGAAAGCAAACCCAGGAGCTGTATCTGGGTGTGGACTTTGACCACCTGCATAGCTGGAACATTACCCACCCAATCGCCCTGCTCCACATCTGCTGGAGATGTGACCTGGTTTCCAAGCCACCTCCTGGCTCTTGGTCATGACCCTTTCAGTGACCTTCACTTCTTGGAAGTGGTTAGGGCACGTAAATGGGAATGGCAAAGGGGAGAAGGTGAACATACTGACACAAGACTTGCAGCACAAGGAACGTATCTGACAGCTTCAGCGTAAAGAAATGCCATGTGGTAACCTTACCGTGTCCCACTGGACTTGCTCCAGTGGGTCAATGCCCCTCTTATTTCAAGGAGCCTTTAACTGGACACAGCATGCCAGCTGTGGCCTCACTAACGCCACTTGTAGATGCATTTTCTACACAGATGCTTGTAGTTTGTTTGAGGTGGTATATTCTGTATTTAACAAATTTAAGAGATTTTCTCGCCTAAATATGCTGCAGACTAATGCCAGGCATATGATATTTAAAAGGATCCTCACCCCACAAGGCTACACCCATCTTATCTGGTTTCTAATCTTGAGAGATATGGGGCTCTGAGACAACCCTTTACTGAGATAAGAATACAACCCAGCCTAATTACCTCCATAAAGGAGCTACAGGAGTCTATAGAGGAG